GGACGCCCCGCGAGCACTTTGCATGGGTTTTTGACCGGGACGGCTGGTGGGCTGGCACATGGCTTGCTGTGCGCAACTCCAACACCCCCAACCAGCCCTGTCACAAAACCATAGGAAGTGCACTTTGCGGCAAGATCTGGATCAGAGAATGGATAGATTCGGCTTGTGTTCGGGATTCGGTTTTTTACTACGCATGGGGCCGAGGGGGCCAGGCGGACAGCGACGACGACGACGACGACGACGACGAGGGCGACGAGGACGAGGGGGAGGAGGAAGAAAACGACGACGAGGGGGCGGAGGGCCAGCACCCCCATCCGTCCGATCGGCCCAAGCCAAGAGCAAGGGGAGACCAAAGACACGCATCGGAGTCACAGTGGAGCCATGTTGACACAATCTTGGGGTCGTCAACTAGGGTTTGAAGGGGTCATCTTGGGGCAATCTCGAAGTCGTCTCGGACTCATGGGATCGTCCCAAGGCCACTTAACATCGGGGTCACGCGGTAGCCTTAGCTCAGCCAGAAGACAATGGGTTCGTCTCGGTGTTCTCTTGGGGCCGCAGGGTCGCTCTGGGGTCACATTGCGGCCATTGCTTAGCAGGGGTGGGCATCTTGGGGCGACAAGGGTAAACTCGTGATCCTTTCAAAACCCTGCTGGGTCCATCTTGGAATCATCTTTCCGTTGCTGTTTCTCTCGTTGTTGTCGCTACAGATGTTGCTGTTGTTGCTGGCGTCGATGCTGCTGGTGCTGCCTGGGCTGCCCGTGGTGCTGGTGCTGGTGCTGGTGCTGTGAAATTTCGGGCCCCCTTGGAGCCGTCTTGGGGCCCTCGCGGTGCCCTCCTGGGCCTCTTGGGGCCCTGCGGGAGCCCTCCGACGGCCCTTACGAGGCTTCCGAGAGGGCCAAGAATTCAGCACATACATTTAACACAAACCGCCTCCTCATTGGAGAGCGTCTTGTGCTAAATTTGTATTGAAAATTTGGGTCATCTTAGAGCCGTCTTGGAGCACTCCTGCCTGAAGCCCTCTGAGGACCCTCAGAGGCCCCCAGGAGGGCCAAGAATTCACCGCACATTTCAGACAAACCGCCTCCTTATTGGAGAAAGAATTGTGTCAAGTTTGTGTTCAATTCTGGGCCCTCTTACAAAGCCCCAACGAGGCCCAAGAGAGACCCAAGAAGGCCCCAAGAGAAGTTTTTGATTCAGCTTCCTCGCGGGGGGGTCACCATGTATTCGCTCTTTGTACGACTCCTTCCTCTTGCGGGTCTCGGCTCGAGGTTCGGAGGCTTTAGGAGGGTTCCAGTCTGAGCTATCCGAAGATTTCGCGTGAGCTTCGAGTGCGATTGTTGTTCAATTGTTTTTGAAGGATTTTAGCGTTCTTGGCTCTTTCGGGGTGCCAACGTTCCAAGAAAGCCCAAGAGGCCACCAGGATCGGCCCAAGACGGACCAAGAGGCCCCCGAAGAGGGCCCCAAGACGACCCACGAGGGCACCAAGACGACCCACGAGGCCCACAATGCGGCCCAAGAGGCCCCCAGGACGACCCCAAGAGGGGACCCAGGGGGCCACCGGAACCCACGTTGTGAAATCTTGTTCATCAGGATCTCCTTTTGTGAAGCGGCGTGGGGGCATGCGGAGACCCTTCGCAAGCAGACGCGGCGCCGGGGTCACCATGCAACCGAACATAATACAAATATGACATTTCTGAGACGATCGCCGAGCTCTGGGGAGCCCTTTTGGGGGGCCTCTTGGGGGCCTGCTGGGGGCTTCTTGGGGCCTGATAAGTTCCTGGGGGCTTCTTAGGGCGTCTTTGGGGGGCGCTTCGGGGGCCCCTTGAGGGCCTGCTGGGGCCCCGAGAGGGCCCCGAGAAGACCCCAAGAAGATTCTGAAAAGTTTCGGGGCCACCCGGGAAGTCTGCAAAACCATCTTCGGGTGACCCAAAGACCTCTCGGGGCCCTCTTGGAGCAACTCTGTTGGGGGGCGTCAGGACGGCATGGGAGCGTTCAAGGAGGCCCCAAGAGAGCCCCGAGAACACTCCAAGAGGGTTCCGAAAAGTCTCCAGGTCACCCGGAGATGCTGCAGCACCATCTCCGGGTGACCCAGGGACCCCTCGGGGCCTTCTTGAAGCTCTCTTGGGGGGCTCCAGGACGGCGGGGAGAGGGCGGAAGGGGGGGGATGGACCTCCTGGAGATGCGGACGCGGAGGAGGGGCGGTTTCTTCGGGCCTGATGGGGGCCTCTCGGGCGCCTCTCGAGGTTTGTCGGGGTTTCTTGGGGACCTCTCAGGGCCTCTTGGGGGACCAGTGGAACCCTTGAGGCGTCTTCTCGGGGTTGTCTTGGGACCCTCTCGGGGACCGAGAAACGATATTGTTGTTGCTGCTATTGTTGTTGCTACTGCTGTTGTTCCCCAATCCGTGCTTGCACTGAAGGGGTCCTAGCGGAAATTGAAGGATTTGGCGAAAATTCCCCGCCGATTTTGGTGGCAGGCTGGGTTCCCGGGTTCCCGGGTTCCCGGTTCCGGGTTCCCGGGTTCCCGGTTCCGGGTTCCGGGCCGATTTCGGAGGGCGGCGAGGTTCCCGGGTTCCCGGGTTCCTGGTCGATCTTCTTCTCGATCGGTCTCACCATCGATCCCATTACCGACTTCTCGATCGATCTCACCATCGATCTCACCATCGATCTCACTATCAATATCACACGCGACCTCACAAGAGATCGCATGAGCGATCTCGCGATCGATCTCAATATCGATCTCATTGAATCGATGTCACTCTCGGTCTGACGAGCGACCTTACAATCGTCCTCACTATCGATTACATAATCGATCTCATTATCGATCTCACAGTCGATCTCACGATCCGTAGCATCAATTTTCAAATCATCCACTGATTGGGTTTTCTAAGGTGTAATTGTAGTTGGTGTGCTTGTCGTAGTAGTAGTAGTAGTAGTAGTAGTAGTAGTAGTAGTAGTAGTAGTAGTAGTAGTAGTAGTAGTAGTAGTAGTAGTAGTAGTAGTAGTAGTAGTAGTAGTAGTAGTAGTAGTAGTAGTAGTAGTAGTAGTAGTAGTAGTAGTAGTAGTAGTAGTAGTAGTAGTAGTAGTAGTAGTAGTAGTAGTAGTAGTAGTAGTAGTAGTAGTAGTAGTAGTAGTAGTAGTAGTAGTAGTAGTAGTAGTAGTAGTAGTAGTAGTAGTAGTAGTAGTAGTAGTAGTAGTAGTAGTAGTAGTAGTAGTAGTAGTAGTAGTAGTAGTATAGTAGTAGTAGTAGTAGTAGTAGTAGAGTAGTAGTAGTAGTAGCAGATGTAGGAGTAGTAGTAGTAGTAGCAGCAGCAGCGCAGCATAGTAGTAGTAGTAGAGTAATAGTAGTAGTAGTAGTAGTAGTAGTAGTAGTAGTAGTAGTAGTAGTAGTAGTAGTCGTAGTAGTAGTAGTAGTAGTAGTAGTAGTAGTAGTAGTAGTAGTCGTAGTAGTAGTAGTAGTGGTAGTAATAGTCGTCGTAGTAGTCGTAGTAGTCGTAGTATTAGTAGTAGTAGCAGTAGTAGTAGTAGTAGTAGTAGTAGTGATAGTGACAGAAGTAGTAATAGTAGTAGATGAAGTAGAAGTATAAGTAAAATTGTAGTAGTAATAGCAGTAATATGAAAATTGGTCAGTCGTGGTAGTAGTAGTAGTAGTAGTAGTAGTAGTAGTAGTAGTAGTAGTAGTAGTAGTAGTAGTAGTAGTTGTAGTAGTAGTAGTAGTAGTAGTAGTAGTAGAACTAGTAGTAGTAGTAGTAGTAGTAGTAGTAGTAGCAGCAGCAGCAGCAGCAGCAGCAGGAGCAGGAGTAGGAGTAGGAGTAGGAGTAGTAGTAGTGGTAGTAGTAGTAGTAGTAGTAGTAGTAGTAGTAGAAGTAGAAGTAGAAGTAGAAGTAGAAGTAGAAGTAGAAGTAGAAGTAGTAGTAGTAGTAGTAGTAGTAGTAGTAGTACCACTAGCAGTAGTAGTAATCGTCGTCGTTGTTGTAGATGTTGCTGCTGTTCGTTGTTGTTGTTGCTGCTGTTGTCGTCGCTGTTGTCGTTTGTTGTTGCGGGTCGCTGTCGTGCTATATCTGGTCGTTTTTAGGGTAGACGCGCAGACAATTGTACCAGACCGGTTGTACCACGTAAGTTGCGCACTGCATATTTTCCACCACGTAGATTGCACCACGTCGACTGCGACACATACATACCACAACATGCATTGCACTGTGCACCACGTCGAGTGCGCCCCACCAGTTGTGCACCTCATAGATTGCTAAACAAACCATCGAATGTTTGGAGGGCGAGAATGGCCGGATCCCTGGTTCTTGACCCCCGGAATGGAACGCGATCCCTGTTGGAACGCGTGTTTCCAAAACAAATCATCACATGTTTGGGCGGCGAAAACAGCCTGATCCATGGTTTCTGATCCCCGGAATTGAACGCGATCCCTGTTGGAACGCGCGCGCCCCTTTGAATCCACGTGACCCACCGTTTTTTGTCGACGGAGGGGCATGCCCCCCCCCCCCCTTCCGACAAGAATCGCGTTCCGAGTCGCTGCCCCGAAAGAAAACTGTGGGTCACGTGGATTCAAAGGGGCGCGAGCATTCCGACAGGGATCGCGTTGAATTCCGGGGGTCAAAAACCAAGGATCAGCCTGTTCTCGCCGCCAAGACATGTGGTGATTTGTATTGGAACCACCCGTTCCGACAGAGATCGTGTTCCATTCCGGGGATCGAAAGCCAGGGATAAGGACATTCTCGCCCTCCAAACATGCGATGATTTGTCTAGCAATCGATGAGGTGCACAACTGGTGGGGCGCACTCGACGTGGTGCAACCTTAATGGTGCACTGCATGTTGTTGTATGTGGTGCAGTCTACGTGGTGCAATTCACTTTGACTGTCTTGAAGCTGTCCTCTCCAGTGCTCGTGCAAACATCCCACCCTCCCACCCGCAACTTGGTCGCAAGACCTCTTAAGATCGTGACGGTGGGTACCACATGGCACTTGGCAACGACACCGACGCCGACGACGACAGCGACAACGACGACGACGACGGCGCCGACGACGACGACGACGACGACTACGACGACACCGACGACGACCCCGACGACTTCGACGACCACGACAACGACGACGACGACACCGACGACGACGACGACGACGATGACGACGACGACGCCGACGCCGACGACGAGGGAGGAGGGAGGACGACAACGGGAACGACACCGACGACGGCGACGACGACGACGCCAACGCCGACGACGACGACGACGACGACGACGACGACGACGGCGCCGACGACGACGACGACGAGAAGGATTTCGGCATCCGCGCGCGGCGGCCGCGCGCATGTGCCCCGCATGGTGTTTTTTACAAAGGATTGTGGCCCTGGCAAGCGCGCGACCGATGTTGAATGAGATCGACGCGCGCGCAAAAGTTATTCGCATGACCGGAATATTGAAAAACCAGTGGTTGTTTAGGGTTCGGAAAGCGCGCGCGGGTAGACATTATGATTTTGTTTGCAGATTTCTATTAGAGGACGTACGGTGCGATTCGTGTGATTTCATGAAGCTCGGTCTTGAAACGGTTGAACTCATAATGTGTTTGGAAGGATTTCTGCATGCGCGCGCGGCGGCGGCGCGCATGTGCCACGCATTGTTTTTTACAAGGGGTTGTGGCCATGGCAGGCGCACGTCCGATGTTGAAGGCGTTCGACGCGCTCGCAAAAGCTGCTCGCATGACAAACATGTGCGCGGCCTCCTTGGACCGCGTCCTACACATTCATCCTCCCCCCCACGTTGCTTCCCCTTCTCGCCTCCGTCGGCCCTTCTGGACATCATAGGCCTTCATTGTTTGGCACTGCTTTTATGCCCTCGTGATCCCGCCAACCCCGTAACATCCTGATGTGGGGAACTCCGTTAGCATAATGTGTTTGCAAAGGAACCGACGGGGGGGCCGCCGATACTGGCCTGGCTGGGATTGTATGAATTCACAAGTAGGAAGGACATTGGGTCAGACTCATATGTGTTTTGCATAGGTTCCCGGGGAATCGATAAGTCCGGGGGGAGGGTGGTAGAACCTCTCTTATTTAGATAGGAAAATCTACGTAGTGCAAAACATGTGGTGTGCGCAATCTATGTGGTACAATCAATATGGTGCAATCTATGTGGTGCAAGACGTGTTGTTGTTTGATGGCGTGCCCGCCTACCCTTGAAATAACATTATATAGCACGACAGCGAACCGCAACACCAAACGACAACAGATAAGATACAACAACAATGACAACAACAACAGCAACAGCAACAACAACAGCAACAACAGCAGCAGCAGCAACAACAACGCCACCACCACAAACAACAACAGCGACAATAACACCAACAACAGCAACACCACCAACAACAACGACAACAACAACAATAACAACAACAATACCACCAACAACAACAACACCAACAACGACACCACCACCACCAACAACAAACACCACCAGCACACAACACCAACAACCACAACACCAGCAGCAGCTGCAACAACAATTAAACCATACGACAGCACCGACGACAACAAAAGCAACAACTACAACTACAACTACAACTACAACTACAATTACAACTACAACTACAACTACAACTACAACTACAACTACACATACAACAACTACAACTACACCACCACAAGCAGCAACTGCAGCAGCAACAACAATATCGCCTCTCGGCCCCCGAGAGGGTACCAAGACACCCCCGATAAGCCCCCAAGACGCCTCGAGAGTTCCACAGGACCAACTGACCTCAAGAGGCGCCCGAGAGGCCCACATCAGGCCCCCAGAAGCCGCCCCCCTTCCGCGTCCGCATCTCCAGGAGATCCCTCCCCCTCTCCCGCCCTCCCCCCTACCGTCTTGGAGCCCCCCAAGAAAGCTCCAAGAGGGCCCAGAGAGCATCTCTGGGTGGCACGGAAACTTTTCGGCAACTTCTTGGAGTTTTCTCGGGGCCCTCTTGGGGCCTCTTTGAGCGCTCCCAAGCCGTCCTGGAGCCCCCAAGAGAGCTCCAAGAAGGCCCCAAGAGGTCTCTGGGTCATGCAGAAATGGTTTTGCAGCATCTCTGGCGGACCCAGACACTTTTCGGGACCGTCTTGGAATCTTCTCGGGCCCACTTGGGGCCCCAGCAGGCCCCCAAGAGGCCCCCAGAGGGCCCCCCAAGACGCCCTAAGAAGCCCCCAAGAAGTCTCAACATACCTCAAGAGGCGCCCAAGAGGCCCCTTATCAGGCCTCAAGGAACCCCAGCAGGCCCCAAGAGGCCCCCAAAAGGGCTCCCAAGAGGCTCGGCGATCGTCTCAGAAATGTACGAATTCGTGTAATGTTCGGATACCTGGTGACTCCTGCGCCGCGTCTACTTGCGAAGGCTCTCCGCATGCCCCCACGCCGCTTCACAAGAGGCGATCCTGATGGACAAAATCTCGCAACGTGAATTCGGGTGGCCCCCGTGGGTCCCCCTCGGAACATCAACAACGGCGCCGGGGCTCCTTGAGCTCGACCAGGTCCTTCTGCAGCGTGCGGAGGCCGCCGCCGGCGCCACCTCGGCAGAGAGAGCCCTCACCCCGAGCACGGGCCGCAGGCGCAAGCCAGCCGCAGCAGGGCAGGGGCGGGAGCGGAGGGAGGAGGGAGGAGGGAGGAGGGAGGAGGGAGGAGGGAGCAGGAGGGAGGAGGAGGGAGGGGGAGGAGGAGGAGGAGAAGGAGGA